CATACCTGTAAGTATTGCATACTTTTAGGCGTGCCATTTTTAAGACTTCAGTCACTGTATCTTTCAGTTAGTGCGTTCATAAGCGAAAGAAGAGAAATTAAAGCTTAACGGGTTTCATACGCCGCTTTTCATTCTTTAACTAATGCGCTCTTTGGTACTTATTCCTTTCGTGACGTGCTAAAAAACTAATTGTTCTCAATTTTTTTTCGTCGTTGGATTATTTTTCATTGCAGAATCTTAAATACATCTTAAAAAAGCAAACTTTTTAGTTCAATGAATATCTAAGCAATTCGACCAATATATTTTCATATGCTTCACTCTTGTCTTCCTTATATTATTATCAATGTGAAATGTCATTATCTTTTGAGTGATTGATTTCTCTTATTTTTTCAAAAGTAATCCAGACGAATAACCCAATAATAAATATGGACAAACGAAAACAGTTCTTAAAAAAAGAAAAATTGTTCTTAAAGTTCTCCGCTATTTAAATACTATGTTTGTGTTTAATTTATTCTCTTTTGGAATACTCAGGTTAGAGATTACGCTGACTCCAATATGTGTATGTCTTCTAATATCTCTTTTATCATTTTTTCAAGGTTATAATTTGAGGAAAATAAATTATAACCTTAATTTCTTAAATATAAAAATAAAAATATAATTTCTTCAACTTTTATGCCATCCAAGAAAAGGAGCAAGAACAAATGCGCCACTTCGGTTAACTTTCTTTTGCTCAACAAGCTTGACAATTGTTTCACGGACGTCATACTAGCGCCGCCATTTTTCTCAGTTCTCCCGCAGGTGACACTCCACTGTCATTTATTCAAAATTTTCTCTCTCTCTTTCATTACTTTAAAAGAAAGCTTTACTCTATACCAAAAAAACAAGGGAATTGAGTGTTTTTTTTTCTAATAATTTAATGTTATTTCAAAAAATAAGGTTAAAATTAAAATTAAAACATTTAGAGGACGTAGAGAGTTGCATTTAATTTAATTTTAGTTGCTTTACACAAAAAATATTTATTTTCCGTTATAATTTAAATAAATTCTAGACAGTAAAAGTAATTTGTCACAAAACAAAAAAGTTTAGAGAGTGAAGAAAGAGTTTGTTGATCCAAAAAAAAAACAAAAAACACGAAAAAGCAGACGGTTGATAGATGGTAGAGAGAGCGAGAGCTGTTTTGTTCTCTTCTAGGCAATATAAGTTAGTGATACGGGCAAAATGTTTGCACTGCCTCTTTGTTGTCTGATGATGTCTGCAAAAAAAGGTTCACACTCATATTTCAACGCAAATATATGTACATATGTATGTAGGATATCAGCTGCGGTTGTTACTATTATATACATAAGTAATTCTTGATTTCTATTGTTTTTGTTCACTCATTTGCCTTATTTTTACATATATATTATATATATACAGACTCAGCGCTCTCATTTCTACGCTCTTGCTCACTGCTACTGTTTATTTATCTCTGCTTACTAGTATTATTATTGCACTCTCATGACAACAAATCCTTGAGCAATTCCTTTTGTTCGAAGGTCAACTTTTCCGGGAATTGTATATCAAACGCCACCAAAAGATCACCCTTTCGCGACGGATCTTTGGGGAAGGGCAAACCGTAGCCTTGTATACGTTTCACCGTATTCGGTTTGATGATTTCCATCACGGTGCTGATGCGCAAACGATCGCCGGACATTGTAGGAACTTGGAAGATCACACCGCAGAGAGCCTAGAAAAGAAAAGAGCGGTATAAAAAAAGAAGTGCATTAGTAAAAGATATCTACTGAAGCAAAGCAGTATAAAGATTGGGTATAATGAATAAAAACAATTATTTTTGTTTACTGCCGCTTTTTGAGCGATGTACTTGGTGTATTAAAGGGATTTTAAATATCGTTCAATCAAATGCCAACTAATCCGCCCACAAATAAACAATTCAATTTCCTTTCCTTTCCGCTTTTCTTCTTTTTTTTCGTGTCCTCAACCTGCAGCATATCTCAACTACTTGTTGTTGTGCCTGCTGCTTGTCGCCAATTCAACAAATTATCAATCTTCCTTACAACTAAATACGCACACAAAACTGTTTATCTTGTCGACTACAATGGAAATCGTCTATACTCAAGTAATGCCGTTACATTTCGTCTTTCTATAATATACATGTGTATTTCTGTGTGTGTGAATGCTTTTCATTTATATCTTAATGCGACATCTAAATCCTTTTTTTATATACTTAATCGCGCTTAAATATGCTGTTGACAACTTGTTTGCTCAACAAATACAAACCACTAACCATCAGCGCATATACACATACACACTTTTCCTATTTGAAAGCCCCCACCACCTGCTAGAGCTTTACATCCAGTTCATCAATTCACTTTCGCTTTCACTTAAACATTTGTTGATTTTAGTTTTATTGATTGTTTTCCGTATAATTGTATATAGATATGCATACATACATATATATTTTTTCATAGACCATGTGAGAATAATTTATTTGCCTAGTAATATACGAAAAGTTATGAGTCATGACTAAAAATATCGGGACTGTCAAGGAGGATGTGTTGAGATTTTTTCCCACCTCATCTTCTTCCATATAGCTTCTGCAAATAGCGTCTGTTAAGATTCGCATGGAGGCCAATAGGGCAATGACGTGCAAAAAGCCCCACAACTAGGGGCTGCTAGCCTTAATGAGCGGTTCTAGATTGCCTTTTCTTGCTAGCTTTTCAGCTTTACAATTTCCGAATTTTTCGAATCCGCTCTGGCCCGACACCCATACCAGTCTTACCACAAAGATGCTCAATGCTATTGATAGCGAAATTAGGCAATCATTCACCAACCCTGTATGCGCTGTAAATGAGCTCAATGTTAGTATCGCCGCTCTGGTGAGTGAATGGTCATTTCTTTGAAGAAAGTTGCACTCTTGAACAGCAGCTGATTTACTGCAACCTTAAGAAATGCAACCTCGCCTTGAAAGATACTGCAATAGGCAGGCAGTTTGACTACCCCCAAAAAACTTCGCCCAAGTTTTCGGCTCATCCGTAAAGAAGATCACTGCCTCTCGAGTTTTTTCAAGTGTGGTCATTTCCAGAGCCCTCTACCACATAAACACTCCATAGAACAAATTGGGCTTGACTATGGTGTCATAGAGCCAGAGGTCCACCTTCGATGAGAGACCCTGCCTTTTGGCAATGGCTCCTCTACAGCAGTATAAGGCAATTAATGTGCATGGTCAGCCACAGATATTTCACTGTATCCGCCGGTTGCAGACGGATGTGTCCCATTTGCGGCAGCGGTGCGACCGGGATCTTATATCTTCTAGTAAATAAAACCATCTCGGTTTTACTTGGGCCACGCTAAGATACCCTTGCATCAACTTCTATACGATATATGCCCACCGACCTCTCATAGCTCCACAAAATTGCCCAGCGGTGTTATATCGCACGATCTTGGAACCACGTCCCCGATCCAAGACTTCATTTTTGAAGAAATATCAACTACTGTCCTCTGTACATAAATCGCACAAAACAGAGAATTTTGAGGGTGTAATGGCGTTAAAATATCAACATCTAAAATATATTGCCTTATTGAAAGCCACACGTCTGAAAATCACAGTCTTGATTACATCCTTATACATAAAAGAATGTCATGGGTAGGTCCAAGTCATTGAACTCCGATGTTGTAATGAAGTTTTGGACCCTAATATACGAAAACTATTAGAAATAGAAAAAGTTCTGTATGTTGATACAGTAGTGGTTCAATTTTTATTAACGTCTTGTCGATTTTACAATGGGAGCATCGATTCCAATCGGGCACATGCGTCTGTATATGCTGTCATGTCAAAGCTTCTTATAAGAACGTTTGTTTATGCATTTATCGGCACATTGTTGGCAAAAATGTCACAAATCCTTTTAACATATCCTTTTCTCTCAACATACACACACATGTATTTGTACTCATTGGTTTTGCTATTGAAGACCATTTATTCGCTGTTGACACGCACAAATTCACACGCACAATCTAAACATGAACACGCAATACATATATACTTTTAAGCCTTAAATTCAGGACGTTTAAACAAAAGAGCTGCTGCTTTTGCTTTCGACGAGTATTTTATTCTCCCACTTTTTTCAATTGCCTACTTATTTGTTTGTATTTATTGTGAGTGAAAGTCATCCATCACCGTTTTCTATAACAAATCAGGGAGTGTGTGTTTGCGTTGGTAAATATTGTTTCATAAATAAAAACAAAGTGATTGTAAGAGTGTTAAGGTCTTGCGACGAGTAACAAATTCGTAAATAAAAAAAAAATTGACGATTTAATGAAAATCTATAGAAATAATGTCTTAAGATATCTAATCTACGTAAATATATACATCTCGCATCATCGCAATGAATTCACTGGTTGAGCGTACTTTCTTTGTCCCTTACAAAACAATGAGCCTAAAGTATAATAGAGATCGATATTTATTGTCTAAACTCAACCAAAATTCAATCTCAATTTGTTTTAGTTTCATTAACAAACTCTGTGTCTCGACGTATATAGATACCAGAATCACTGTTTTCAGATTATTCATTATCTAATACGTCTGATATGCCGAGATTAAAGCTAGCCAAAGATGGAGATTCGGAACACTTATAAATTGGATCAACATCATTATTTAATTTTCAAAATAACAAAGGTGATTTAGCGTTCGTTTCAAAGAGTTCTTTCTTTCTCAGCGTTTTCAGCTGACACTGAAAGACAACTTGGTGAACACAAATTTTTTTTTTTTTGTTGAACCTATCATTTAGTATTCACATCCGCCACTGATCACCCTTTATTTGCACGTTCATTTATTTGATCAGTAATTATCAAATGATTGGATTCCAAGAATTGTTGAATGACAGAGTGATAAGAGAAAAGATCCACTTTATGAAACACTTGATCAAATTGATCAACAATCAACACTTATTATAAATCATTGCATGTAATTAGAACAATATAAAGTGATTCCCTCTTTTGGCTATAAATTCTAGTCACTACTTTATTCGGTGTTATTTCAAATTTGTTCTGTACAGTGACCGAAAATGAAGCAAGTTGTCATCTTTAGCGCGATTCTTGTTGCTTTGACACATTGTGTCAGTGCCGGTAATGTTCCCTCGAAGGATATCGCGAGTCCCAGCAAGGGAAGACGTAAGTCACACTGCAGTTTAATTACTTATACTATTACTGAATTCCAAATATTTTCCGTCAATAGTTGCTCCAGTCGAAGGTGAACGTTTTATACTCAGCCTGACGAGTGTAAGTGTGAGAGCAAAAATATTCACAAAGCTATAATTATTAGCAACTATCTTTCCTTCCAGATGAACTGGTTTGCTGCCTATGGTTTTTGTAATCAGCAAAACGCCACACTTCTATCACTGGAATTAGGAAAAAGCGACAGTAAAAAAAAAGAGTTTAAAGCTTTTATAAACTCATACCGTAAGTTTCTGAAGTATTTGATAGAATTGGTGCTTTCAAAATATTTACATATAAGATTTTACGCAGTACTCTATTTACACCATTTGCTTGTTCGATTTGCCGCTCTGCCAGCTCTGGAGAGTGAATTGCAGCAATTATTGTACTTGTTAGCTTTTTAAGTAACTTATTGGTTGCTCGCATATATATAAAGATGTTTGATCATTCGTTTTCAGTTAGCGTTAAGCGTAGTTGCCACCTCACATCAATTTTTACCACATACCCCTCGGCGAAAAAATTAAAAAAAATTCTGAAGTTCGTTTAAATAATTTCTCATTTTTTCAGATCTCAAAGATCATGAGTACTGGCTACACGGTAGTCGGCTAGAAGACGATGTAACCTTCCGTTGGGGTTTAGGTGGTCTGCCAATTTCTTATACCGATTGGTCTACCGACCAGCCAGATAACGCGGGTGGACAACAACGCTGCATGAAATTATTTAAGACTATCCTGTGGGACGACGATGACTGTTTTTCTAAATATTACGCTGTTTGCCAAAAGTACTAATTGTTGCTAACTTTTATAGCTTTATTCCTAGTTGGAAATGTCTGTTTAATTCTAAATGGGGTTTAAATACATGAATTGACTTTCTTATTAAAAGCATATATATAAATTAAAAACTCTTTTAAATTGTGTCACGAATCAGAGCAATTAGATTGTCAGAATTTTCTTAAAGGAACCTGATGCTTAAGCAATACCTTTAGAGCATTTCTGCTGAAGTTTTGAAAAAAAAAATCCTATAGTGTCAGTCCTTGTCCTGTTACATATTGATTTCAATTATGTTAAAACTGTCATGGGAGGACTAGATCTGACTCGGAATTTTGATAAAATTTCCGATAGTGGCAGACCTTGTTTTGATACCATTAGTTGCCGTTCGTGTTAATGTTCGATTCGCTACTCACTAAAGCATGTTAAAACGCAGATAGCTATTATTTTAGTACAAATTTTCAAAAAATTAATATATGCTATTTTTTTATCTCTCTAAATACTAAACTTTATATCCAATAAATGATAACCAACGGCAACTATATAAACTAGTCCTGAGTATGCAGATTTTGTCATGGTGGTCACCTTTTTTACGCTTTAATTGCTGGTGTAAAATTTTTTATTACCTATAACTATAGTATATTACTTTATCTATTAATATGCATTATCGAGACTATCAAGTATTCTTAGCTACTTCAAGCAGAGAAGTTATTTTCAATAATATTGAAGCAGCTAGCAAATTTGTTTCTGCTTGTTTTTGTTATTCAAATATATAATCTAGAAGCATACGTCCCAGAGTATGGTAAAAATATGCCAAAAGAAAATATATACTACAATTTATATTTTGTGCGCAGAAACTTCTTCCTTTAATAGATGATGGTGGTTAGCGTGGGTGAAGTGAGTAAGAATTGTTTTAATAAAATTATATATACAATTATCAAAATTCTTGCAGATGAATTGGTTCGCCGGATATGTTTACTGTACTCCACTAGCCATGAAACTGCTTAGACCGGAGTCGTCAGTTCATAACAAAGTATTCGAAAAAATGGTCCAACATTACAGTAAATTAGTTTGGAATATATACATGCGATATCTGAACATACTTCTTAATCGTTTGGAAGACAATGTTCGTTGAGGCTTAAGAGGTCTGTCACTCTCTTTTGAAAACTTTAGTCCATACCAACCTGATAACAAGGGAGGAATCCAACGTTGTTTAAGACTGTTTGTGAACGCCGAATGAGATGATGTAGATTGCAGTGTCGCAGATTTTTTTGTCATATGTCTTTTCTAAAGAGTCAATAAACAATTATTTATATGCCTGCAGTTGTATTATTTTCAGTTTGTGAATTAACAAAATTTGTTGGAGCTTTTATGTAGTATGAAAGAGCTATAAGATTGAGCGACCTTAATCAATTGCTAATTTACTATGATAAATTTATTATATGCCCCCTAATAAACGAGAACTTTAGACCTGTGACCACTCTACTAAGGCTTGATAAAATTCAAAATTCAAAAAAATTCATAAAATTCAAAAAAAAAAAAGAGTTCCATAATTTTTTCACTGGTGTTAAAAAATATGCTACTAAACAATTTACCTCGGGCTGTCAGCCTTCCGCTTTGCTCTGAAATTAAGTCAGTATAACATTTCTTGCTTTCTTGCGTACTACATCTGGACATTGTAGTTCCTCTTTATGACTGCTAAAATCGACGAAGGGAAGTTGTTGAGAAGATGGAACGATTGAGGGAATAGTTTTATGGGCTTTATACATACAATGGAGATGGCAGCTCATATGTTTCTTAAACTAATTTACGCCGCCACCGAAGCTTTGAGCTTCACAATTCAGAAAGAGTCTACTCAAATGTCTAAATTTAGGTCTTGAAAAATGAATAGAAATTTTTTTTATTAAACCAGGCGTTCTATGCCTTGAGCTTCTCGTCGTATCTCATAGAATCCGTAAATCACACATAGCAGTATGCAGATACAATTTGTAGTCTATGTAATAGATTCAGCGCCTACAAAAAACGAATGAAGGCTATATGGGTATATTTCGATTCCATTTCATTGAATAAAGGCTTAAGTCTGTTATTGGTAAGTGGTTAAATGAGCTTCTGCGCCCCCCTCTAATTACAACTAAGCTACACCCCACACATACACACCATACTCCACACATCATTCTTTCATCCCACACTACACACACCAYACTCAACGCATCATCTCTTCCTCCCACACTACACACAACAACTCAACGCATCATTATCTACACCACATCTTTCACACCGCACACGAGGACACCAAGCATAATCAACAAAAGGGACTGGCGGACGGCGCCCAACGCTCTTTCTTTTTCGATCCGTGCGCATATACGTGCCAGCCAGTCTAACATTCTCCCGCATCATCCCGCTTTTAAATAATTTTTGAAAAAAAAAAGGTCGTCGCCGAAACAACGGGTAAGTGCCGCGAGGTCCCTGGTTTTAGTAACTAACTATTTAGTAAGCATTCAAAGTAGTTCCAGTTCAGTAGCATACTGCTTGAGGCACAAAGCAAGCAAAACGTTCTCAGAGTATAAAAATTTATGCAACTATACTTGTAGGGAGTATAACCTAAATAAACCGACATATTTCAAGGAGTAGGCATTTTTGCTCAAGTACTAATTAAATTATCACTGCATACCATAAATATATCTGTACCTCGATTGTAAATATGTATATGGGTATAAATCTTTCAAGTATGGCGTGCTGCATCAAGAGTCGCATAAAAAGCAAATGTTCGCAATAAAGTATGGAAAATAGTAAGCATAATAATAATGAGATACTTATAAGGCAGTGAAAAATGCGCAAACAAAAGCATAAAAATTCCTTAAATTCTGAATACAAAAGTAAAGCAAAAATTATCAATAAAATTGCCACTAGTGATCCGTGAATGCTTTTGCTGATGGAATTATCTACATCGATATGCAAGAATTTGTAAATTTCTGCTGCTGATGGCATCATCATCAACGACAACGACTTCGACTGCCAGGCATTGCGAGTTATTGTCGAGCAAAGACAATACGTGCACAACAACAATTTGCGGAATGCGTGCCGCTTTAACGAGGTACTCGATATTTCAGCAAACCGTTGCCCCAAAACCAACTGGAAGACTGTGCGTCTCCATTATGCATATAACTTCTACATAATTCTAACATTAAATCCGGCAATCGTACTGTAAATGCGTGTCATTTGTTCTTCAAATTGACTATTTACATGCCACACTCACTCGTTTCGCTACGGGTATTCGTCGTACCTATGCAACACTGTATGCGGCTATTGGATAATCAACACTGCGCATTCGTCCGTTACGCGTGTTCGATTCGCCATTTGCGCGCTCATTCGGCATCGACATCGGCACTGCAGTGCATGGCTGCAAATGTTCGTTGTCATTTATTGTGCGCCAATAAAAGTATATGCGAATTTCTGATTGATTTCAATGAAATGGCAAAAGCATTTGGGAATTGTCTGTGCTTGGTTATGCCGTACGCAGAGATTACTCTTCTCCTTATATGCATGTGCAAGTGTTTGTGTGTAGTTATGTATCTCTTAGAGTCAGGTACGCATCAACGTTGGTGGTGACATTCGTGGTGGTGTCATCACGTTATTTCTTGTCATTTTTGGTAGTAAATGAAATTCCATTTCCCTTGCCATAAAAAGGCTTATAACGGTGGGATCTTACTGTGTAAAGTTCGTCCAAAAAGAATTAAGTTTTGAGACATTTTAAAATTGGCACAGAAGTGTAATTTATAATAGAGAAATATGCTGTTGATACTATCTCTCATTTAATCACATTTGGGTCAGGATATAAATCATGCATCTGACTGAGTTTTTATGCCCTCAAGATAACGAATAATTGGTATATCAAGTCTGCTACCATGAGATCTTCTCTCGTTCGGGTGTTTTTAATGGATTTTTTCCCTTATTAAATTCTATGAAACCTTTGAAATATTGTTCTAAATTTTGAATTTGATCTGAATAATAGTTGCGGGGACATAGCGTTGAGAACTTGTACGCCTCGAGGCTAGGTAGGCTAAGTGTCCTTAAGAGGTTACATGGGTATACGGGTTTTAAAAAATCTATTATTTATTTGATGTTTTTTTTTTAATTCTACAACACCTCTAAGATATTGTCCTAAATTTTCAAGTTGATCCCAATATTAGTTTCAGAGATACTTGAGAACTTGTGAACTAAGCGATCAGAATATTGATGATCAAACGACGATATTTCAGCTGATAAAATCGCTCTATTCTGAATAAGATGATCTTCGTTACGCTTGTTTTCAAGAATTTAGTATTAGTGATCAATTAGCTTACTCATCAATCAATTTAAATCTTATAACTCTCTAGGTTATACCTCAAAAATCTAGAAACCAAACTCCTTTGCAGTTCTAAAACTCAAATAATATTGTAAAGAGCTTTGCAAGTTCCATTAATATAAACCATACGGCATCGCCCGTTTAGGTATTAGAATTTCTGCCATTAAGCTTGACTGCCAAACGTATGTGCCTCAGGGCTGCTTTTGACTAATTAAAATCGGATCTTCTGCACAATCGCGCCACTGTGTCTGCAGCCTCGAGCCAGCGACGCACGCTTGCATTGTCCATCATAAAATATTGCGCACTGTTGCAACAGCTCATCTTCAATCAGCGTTGACAACGTCACCAATGTACAATACAATAATAAAAACAACCACAACAATAACCGCTTTGGTAGCGATAAAAATAAAGTCACTTTTTATTGCCTTGCAATGTCGCATTTTGCATTTTGATGGGGCCATTCAGGCATTTTACACACACAATGCTGCCACATTTGCAATACATACACATATATATACATATATAGCAGGTATAGCTGTGTTCATGCGAAACTTGGAACAATGTTTTATGGTTGCCGATTGATTTTTTAACTCTTCATTTCGGTAGTTTTTATTTTGATAACTTTCTGCTTTATTAATATTTTTTCGTTGCCTTCGCGTTGCTGACGTTTTTTCGGCCACTTTACGGTGTTTTGTAGTTGGCGGTTGCGTTTCATTGCCGCCGCTGCATCGCTGCTTTGTTGCTCACCGCTTTATTTAACCTTTTTTGTTTTTTGTTTTGTACGTCGCC